TTTGTCGGATAGTTGGTATTGGTCTGGTCAGAATAAAGATGCTTGATGGGATAGTTAAAAAACTTGATACAATGAGACACATTCCAGATCTGAAGAAAAATCTTATCTTGTAGGGTAATATAGAATCTTCGAGTAATCAAGATATTTCGGGTGGATTTAGAGTTGGCTTCTGTACCGTTAGAGTCTAATTTGGGGTCTTCATTTAAAAATACATCTCAGTTGAATTTTGAAGATATTGGTAAATCCGTCTTGCCACCATTATCGATGGTGTCATCACATTCAATTGTTAGAAATAGACCCATTTTTTGCCATAAGGTTCCACATAGGTACAATTCTGCTGATTTTGTTGATGGTTTGAATGCGGTTAAGGATGTTGATTCTAGCAAAGATCCTTCTTTTGATGCATTCAGTTATGATTCTGTTACATGGTTTGTTTCAGCCTTGTATTGTGGTCGCTAGATCCATTTTGCCCCTAGTTGAGGTAGAAAGGCGGGGAATATTTTCAATTGAAATTCTTGTTAGAGAAGTTCGTTTGTATTTTTCATTGAAAAATTCAAGTTTATTCCTTGCAGTTGAACTTGTCTCCGGTGGAGAACTCTTTTGAATTTTTGTTCATTGTAGGAATTCTTATCAAGGCGGAGATTGTTAGAATTAGGGTGTGACCCGAATTCTTCGTTGAAGATAATTTAGAAATAATTAAAGTACACATTAAGGCCCTGTTTAATAGCCATTAATTTCTTGTAATGTATTATATAATAATAGATTGATGGAGAATATGTGGTTAAAAAGTAATGAAATTTTATTAGTTTATGTGTAGAATATTTTGTTGTGTGAATGTGTAATGGAGAATGGTACTCTAGCAAACAATTTAAAATTTTAAAGGATGACAAACAGAGTCTAAGAAGAATTCTATTTGGAATGCAATTGTTGAATCATATTCAAGTTTACTTAACAAATTCTAATTTTGGAAGCCCACTGGAAGTAGGAATTTATGTTGGACTTGAAGATGACAATGGAACGAAGAAAATCAAATTTTTTTGAGTAAAGGACATGAAAGTAAACGCCGCAACACCATGACAATTTTGGCCCAACACTGCTCGTCTGTTTTATCCCCGCACGATTTTTTCTGTCATTCTCCGTTCTTGGCATTCCACTTCAACTACAACTCTAATATAAGGGTTTAGACACCCCCTATTTATTCCATATATATTTAGTTCTTCATTATTTAGTAGAAATTATAAGAAGTTAGACGAATAACAAACATATAATATTTGTATTCTCTCTCCATATTATAATAAAATATTCGTTCTTTGCAAAATTACATTGTTCTTGTGTTCTTGTGATCAATTACTTCATATTGTGGTTCAATCTCTTATATTTTCACAATAAACTAGTATTAAAGCATTCAAGTTTTTATAACACATTTCAATGTTCTCTATGTAGCCATAAAAGACATGTTAATTTTTTTAGCAATACGAAGGATTACAGATTCAAGGGAGAGTGACTTGAGACTTGCTGCATTTTGAGCCTTCATTATCCCACTCATGGTTATTAAACCTAGACAGGACCGGACCGAACCGGACCGGCCGGTTCGATCTAGAACCCGTCGAACCGGAGCATGGTCTAGTTCGAGCCTCACTAAATTTGCATTGTATAGATAAACTGTTTGAAACCCAAAGGAATCGCCGGTTTACTGGAAAAACTGTTGGCCCAAATGAAAAGAAACAGCCCGATCCATATGCACATAGTTAAAAACCCAAAAGCCCATTATCTGAATCTCTATTCTCTCACTCACGTACGCGATGCCCTAACCCGTAGTAGATCCTCTGCCTTCTCTCCCAATTTCACTCCTAAGAATCCAAAGCTTCAATTTCAAGTTGTATGAGATGGAAGAAGAAAAAGATGTAAGTTTAAAATTTACAATTTACCATTTTTTTTTTAAATTTCAGTTTTTTGCCATTTAATTATGTGAATTTCAATTCAGATGGAAGAAGAAGATGGGTGAATTTCTATTTTTTTTTATTTTTATTTTTTTGTGAATTTCAGTTCTTGATTTTCGCAAGACTAGTTTCATGTGATAGGATTCTTACACCTAGTAATAGATATGGAGCAATAGTTGTTGTGTATGACTCGAATATATAGGTTTTTGTGTAAATCATAAGCATCCACTTGAGCACTTATAGAAGAAGAAAAACCAAACGGTACGAAATGGGGATTGAGCCTTCAGTTAAACTGGGATATCAGAAGTGAAATGGCATGGAACTTCAAGCTGAATAAAACTATGGATTTGTTGAATCTAAGATGTGTTAGTATTTCGATTAGCTGGTCAAAACATGTACAAGCAAGAGAAAATCAACGAAGCATTGTTAGATATACATTTCCTGTAGAATGCTCGAATAGACAAAATTCAGGCAAACACCATATGCACCACTTCACTCACAAGTCTGGCACCAAATAAATCAATCACTGAACACTACAAGGTGGTTTATATGCACCTTATCCTCAGCCAGAAATTGTACTTAACAATGTCTTCCTCGTTGCACATTCTAATTGGTGGAAGAATGGCCTTATTACGTGAAAATTTCAATTTTTCTCCAACACAATAATCAATACAATCCTAGTTTTTTTTTCCTAATGATATATAATTTTTAACATAATTTGTGTTTTTGTATAGCTCATTGGTGATAATAGTACACCACATTCTTCTCCACCAAAAAGTCAAGCTAGAGGAAAAACAAATATAGCATGGGGTCATTGTAAAGAGATTCTTGATGCTGGTACTAATGGAAATAAAAAGAAATTTGTTTGCTTGTATTGTGGAAACACTTTTGCTGGAGGTGGTATTAATCGTATCAAACAACACTTAGTGAGGTTAAGAGGTGATGTGGATTCGTGTCGTAAAGTACCTCATGATTTAAGATTCAAAATGAAAGAAAACTTGGACAACTTTACTGCAAAGAAGCTTAAAACTCAAGAAGTTCTTGAAGAGTGTAATCCACATAGTTCTTATTATAGGGAACAAGAAGAGCAAATGTATAGAGATTTGCATAAGGATGATGTTCCAGAAATTATCTCCCCTACTTCTGAAGGAAAGGGAGTAGTTATGGGTAAAAGTGAAAGAAA